ATCCACAGTTTGATATATGTCATGACTTCAACAGTTTTTAAACCGATGATGATGTAGATCATCAGCAGTCTGAATTGTTTGTTAATGTGGTTTCAGCCTCCAATGTCCGAGGTTGAGTTTGAAGCTTGGCTGAAGGATCATAAGAAGAAGTCTGAAGATGGGTAGGAAACATTTTTATAGAGCTGTGGCCAGATTGTAGGGTAGAAGTGATACAGGCATGCCTGGTGGACAATCTTGGGATTAGGATCCACAGGAGTTTGCAACTAGAACTATCATGCTGTTTGGTTATCTTAATTTGATTTTCTCTCTTGTTCTTGTTTCTTCCTGCTGTAGTTTGAATATACCTGATGTCGACGTGGACATAAAATACACAGATAACATCACGGTAATCTACTTTTCTTTACAATTCTGAGATACAGATGTTCATCACTCTGATTGGTTTGTTAATGTGGTTTCAGCCTCCAATATCCCAGTACCAGTTGTGGCTATGGATGAGACATCAGAAATTGGGAACTTTGGGAAGGTAAGAAACTTTTCTTAGGGGAAGTGTCTGGATTGAGGTTGGCATTATCAAACGCAATGTGGTTTTGTTAAAGTTTTATGGACAGAATGATTGCGTGCTGTTTAACTCATGACAATGTTTCTGTATTCCATCATAGTTTGCAATTGCCCGATGTAGACTTAAAAGAACTGGAGAAATTAAAGGTAATCCACAGTTTGATATATGTCATGACTTCAACAGTTTTAAACTGAAAGCAAAATGGTTTACAAATTATGATGTAGATCATCAGCAGTCTGAATTGTTTGTTAATGTGGTTTCAGCCTCCAATGTCCGAGGTTGAGTTTGAAGCTTGGCTGAAGATCATAAGAAGAAGTCTGAAGATGGGTAGGAAACATTTTTATGGAACTGTGGCCAGATTGTAGGGTAGAAGTGATACAGGCATGCCTGGTGGAGAATCTTGGGATTAGGACCCACAGGAGTTTGCAACTAGAACTATCATGCTGTTTAGTTATCTTAATTTGATTTTCTCTCTTGTTCTCGTTTCTTCTGCTGTAGTTTGAATATACCTGATGTCGACGTGGACATAAAATACACAGATAACATCACGGTAATCTACTTTTCTTTACAATTCTGAGATACAGATGTTCATCACTCTGATTGGTTTGTTAATGTGGTTTCAGCCTCCAATATCCCAGTACCAGTTGTGGCTATGGATGAGACATCAGAAATTGGGAACTTTGGGAAGGTAAGAAACTTTTCTTAGGGGAAGTGTCTGGATTGAGGTTGGCATTATCAAACGCAATGTGGTTTTGTTAAAGTTTTATGGAACAGAATGATTGCGTGCTGTTTAACTCATGACAATGTTTCTGTATTCCATCATAGTTTGCAATTGCCCGATGTAGACTTAAAAGAACTGGAGAAATTAAAGGTAATCCACAGTTTGATATATGTCATGACTTCAACAGTTTTAAACTGAAAGCAAAATGGTTTACAAATTATGATGTAGATCATCAGCAGTCTGAATTGTTTGTTAATGTGGTTTCAGCCTCCAATGTCCGAGGTTGAGTTTGAAGCTTGGCTGAAGGATCATAAGAAGAAGTCTGAAGATGGGTAGGAAACATTTTTATAGAGCTGTGGCCAGATTGTAGGGTAGAAGTGATACAGGCATGCCTGGTGGACAATCTTGGGATTAGGATCCACAGGAGTTTGCAACTAGAACTATCATGCTGTTTGGTTATCTTAATTTGATTTTCTCTCTTGTTCTTGTTTCTTCCTGCTGTAGTTTGAATATACCTGATGTCGACGTGGACATAAAATACACAGATAACATCACGGTAATCTACTTTTCTTTACAATTCTGAGATACAGATGTTCATCACTCTGATTGGTTTGTTAATGTGGTTTCAGCCTCCAATATCCCAGTACCAGTTGTGGCTATGGATGAGACATCAGAAATTGGGAACTTTGGGAAGGTAAGAAACTTTTCTTAGGGGAAGTGTCTGGATTGAGGTTGGCATTATCAAACGCAATGTGGTTTTGTTAAAGTTTTATGGACAGAATGATTGCGTGCTGTTTAACTCATGACAATGTTTCTGTATTCCATCATAGTTTGCAATTGCCCGATGTAGACTTAAAAGAACTGGAGAAATTAAAGGTAATCCACAGTTTGATATATGTCATGACTTCAACAGTTTTAAACCGATGATGATGTAGATCATCAGCAGTCTGAATTGTTTGTTAATGTGGTTTCAGCCTCCAATGTCCGAGGTTGAGTTTGAAGCTTGGCTGAAGGATCATAAGAAGAAGTCTGAAGATGGGTAGGAAACATTTTTATGAGCTGTGGCCAGATTGTAGGGTAGAAGTGATACAGGCATGCCTGGTGGACAATCTTGGGATTAGGACCACAGGAGTTTGCAACTAGAACTATCATGCTGTTTAGTTATCTTAATTTGATTTTCTCTCTTGTTCTGTTTCTTCCTGCTGTAGTTTGAATATACCTGATGTCGACGTGGACATAAAATACACAGATAACATCACGGTAATCTACTTTTCTTTACAATTCTGAGATACAGATGTTCATCACTCTGATTGGTTTGTTAATGTGGTTTCAGCCTCCAATATCCCAGTACCAGTTGTGGCTATGGATGAGACATCAGAAATTGGGAACTTTGGGAAGGTAAGAAACTTTTCTTAGGGGAAGTGTCTGGATTGAGGTTGGCATTATCAAACGCAATGTGGTTTTGTTAAAGTTTTATGGACAGAATGATTGCGTGCTGTTTAACTCATGACAATGTTTCTGTATTCCATCATAGTTTGCAATTGCCCGATGTAGACTTAAAAGAACTGGAGAAATTAAAGGTAATCCACAGTTTGATATATGTCATGACTTCAACAGTTTTAAACGATGATGATGTAGATCATCAGCAGTCTGAATTGTTTGTTAATGTGGTTTCAGCCTCCAATGTCCGAGGTTGAGTTTGAAGCTTGGCTGAAGGATCATAAGAAGAAGTCTGAAGATGGGTAGGAAACATTTTTATAGAGCTGTGGCCAGATTGTAGGGTAGAAGTGATACAGGCATGCCTGGTGGACAATCTTGGGATTAGGATCCACAGGAGTTTGCAACTAGAACTATCATGCTGTTTGGTTATCTTAATTTGATTTTCTCTCTTGTTCTTGTTTCTTCCTGCTGTAGTTTGAATATACCTGATGTCGACGTGGACATAAAATACACAGATAACATCACGGTAATCTACTTTTCTTTACAATTCTGAGATACAGATGTTCATCACTCTGATTGGTTTGTTAATGTGGTTTCAGCCTCCAATATCCCAGTACCAGTTGTGGCTATGGATGAGACATCAGAAATTGGGAACTTTGGGAAGGTAAGAAACTTTTCTTAGGGGAAGTGTCTGGATTGAGGTTGGCATTATCAAACGCAATGTGGTTTTGTTAAAGTTTTATGGACAGAATGATTGCGTGCTGTTTAACTCATGACAATGTTTCTGTATTCCATCATAGTTTGCAATTGCCCGATGTAGACTTAAAAGAACTGGAGAAATTAAAGGTAATCCACAGTTTGATATATGTCATGACTTCAACAGTTTTAAACTGAAAGCAAAATGGTTTACAAATTATGATGTAGATCATCAGCAGTCTGAATTGTTTGTTAATGTGGTTTCAGCCTCCAATGTCCGAGGTTGAGTTTGAAGCTTGGCTGAAGGATCATAAGAAGAAGTCTGAAGATGGGTAGGAAACATTTTTATAAGCTGTGGCCAGATTGTAGGGTAGAAGTGATACAGGCATGCCTGGTGGAGAATCTTGGGATTAGGACCCACAGGAGTTTGCAACTAGAACTATCATGCTGTTTGTTATCTTAATTTGATTTTCTCTCTTGTTCTCGTTTCTTCCTGCTGTAGTTTGAATATACCTGATGTCGACGTGGACATAAAATACACAGATAACATCACGGTAATCTACTTTTCTTTACAATTCTGAGATACAGATGTTCATCACTCTGATTGGTTTGTTAATGTGGTTTCAGCCTCCAATATCCCAGTACCAGTTGTGGCTATGGATGAGACATCAGAAATTGGGAACTTTGGGAAGGTAAGAAACTTTTCTTAGGGGAAGTGTCTGGATTGAGGTTGGCATTATCAAACGCAATGTGGTTTTGTTAAAGTTTTATGACAGAATGATTGCGTGCTGTTTAACTCATGACAATGTTTCTGTATTCCATCATAGTTTGCAATTGCCCGATGTAGACTTAAAAGAACTGGAGAAATTAAAGGTAATCCACAGTTTGATATATGTCATGACTTCAACAGTTTTAAACTGAAAGCAAAATGGTTTACAAATTATGATGTAGATCATCAGCAGTCTGAATTGTTTGTTAATGTGGTTTCAGCCTCCAATGTCCGAGGTTGAGTTTGAAGCTTGGCTGAAGGATCATAAGAAGAAGTCTGAAGATGGGTAGGAAACATTTTTATAGAGCTGTGGCCAGATTGTAGGGTAGAAGTGATACAGGCATGCCTGGTGGACAATCTTGGGATTAGGATCCACAGGAGTTTGCAACTAGAACTATCATGCTGTTTGGTTATCTTAATTTGATTTTCTCTCTTGTTCTTGTTTCTTCCTGCTGTAGTTTGAATATACCTGATGTCGACGTGGACATAAAATACACAGATAACATCACGGTAATCTACTTTTCTTTACAATTCTGAGATACAGATGTTCATCACTCTGATTGGTTTGTTAATGTGGTTTCAGCCTCCAATATCCCAGTACCAGTTGTGGCTATGGATGAGACATCAGAAATTGGGAACTTTGGGAAGGTAAGAAACTTTTCTTAGGGGAAGTGTCTGGATTGAGGTTGGCATTATCAAACGCAATGTGGTTTTGTTAAAGTTTTATGGACAGAATGATTGCGTGCTGTTTAACTCATGACAATGTTTCTGTATTCCATCATAGTTTGCAATTGCCCGATGTAGACTTAAAAGAACTGGAGAAATTAAAGGTAATCCACAGTTTGATATATGTCATGACTTCAACAGTTTTAAACGACAAATTATGATGTAGATCATCAGCAGTCTGAATTGTTTGTTAATGTGGTTTCAGCCTCCAATGTCCGAGGTTGAGTTTGAAGCTTGGCTGAAGGATCATAAGAAGAAGTCTGAAGATGGGTAGGAAACATTTTTATGAGCTGTGGCCAGATTGTAGGGTAGAAGTGATACAGGCATGCCTGGTGGACAATCTTGGGATTAGGACCACAGGAGTTTGCAACTAGAACTATCATGCTGTTTGTTATCTTAATTTGATTTTCTCTCTTGTTCTTGTTTCTTCCTGCTGTAGTTTGAATATACCTGATGTCGACGTGGACATAAAATACACAGATAACATCACGGTAATCTACTTTTCTTTACAATTCTGAGATACAGATGTTCATCACTCTGATTGGTTTGTTAATGTGGTTTCAGCCTCCAATATCCCAGTACCAGTTGTGGCTATGGATGAGACATCAGAAATTGGGAACTTTGGGAAGGTAAGAAACTTTTCTTAGGGGAAGTGTCTGGATTGAGGTTGGCATTATCAAACGCAATGTGGTTTTGTTAAAGTTTTATGGACAGAATGATTGCGTGCTGTTTAACTCATGACAATGTTTCTGTATTCCATCATAGTTTGCAATTGCCCGATGTAGACTTAAAAGAACTGGAGAAATTAAAGGTAATCCACAGTTTGATATATGTCATGACTTCAACAGTTTTAAACTGAAAGCAAAATGGTTTACAAATTATGATGTAGATCATCAGCAGTCTGAATTGTTTGTTAATGTGGTTTCAGCCTCCAATGTCCGAGGTTGAGTTTGAAGCTTGGCTGAAGGATCATAAGAAGAAGTCTGAAGATGGGTAGGAAACATTTTTATAGAGCTGTGGCCAGATTGTAGGGTAGAAGTGATACAGGCATGCCTGGTGGACAATCTTGGGATTAGGACCACAGGAGTTTGCAACTAGAACTATCATGCTGTTTGGTTATCTTAATTTGATTTTCTCTCTTGTTCTTGTTTCTTCCTGCTGTAGTTTGAATATACCTGATGTCGACGTGGACATAAAATACACAGATAACATCACGGTAATCTACTTTTCTTTACAATTCTGAGATACAGATGTTCATCACTCTGATTGGTTTGTTAATGTGGTTTCAGCCTCCAATATCCCAGTACCAGTTGTGGCTATGGATGAGACATCAGAAATTGGGAACTTTGGGAAGGTAAGAAACTTTTCTTAGGGGAAGTGTCTGGATTGAGGTTGGCATTATCAAACGCAATGTGGTTTTGTTAAAGTTTTATGGACAGAATGATTGCGTGCTGTTTAACTCATGACAATGTTTCTGTATTCCATCATAGTTTGCAATTGCCCGATGTAGACTTAAAAGAACTGGAGAAATTAAAGGTAATCCACAGTTTGATATATGTCATGACTTCAACAGTTTTAAACGATGATGATGTAGATCATCAGCAGTCTGAATTGTTTGTTAATGTGGTTTCAGCCTCCAATGTCCGAGGTTGAGTTTGAAGCTTGGCTGAAGGATCATAAGAAGAAGTCTGAAGATGGGTAGGAAACATTTTTATAGAGCTGTGGCCAGATTGTAGGGTAGAAGTGATACAGGCATGCCTGGTGGACAATCTTGGGATTAGGATCCACAGGAGTTTGCAACTAGAACTATCATGCTGTTTGGTTATCTTAATTTGATTTTCTCTCTTGTTCTTGTTTCTTCCTGCTGTAGTTTGAATATACCTGATGTCGACGTGGACATAAAATACACAGATAACATCACGGTAATCTACTTTTCTTTACAATTCTGAGATACAGATGTTCATCACTCTGATTGGTTTGTTAATGTGGTTTCAGCCTCCAATATCCCAGTACCAGTTGTGGCTATGGATGAGACATCAGAAATTGGGAACTTTGGGAAGGTAAGAAACTTTTCTTAGGGGAAGTGTCTGGATTGAGGTTGGCATTATCAAACGCAATGTGGTTTTGTTAAAGTTTTATGGACAGAATGATTGCGTGCTGTTTAACTCATGACAATGTTTCTGTATTCCATCATAGTTTGCAATTGCCCGATGTAGACTTAAAAGAACTGGAGAAATTAAAGGTAATCCACAGTTTGATATATGTCATGACTTCAACAGTTTTAAACTGATGATGATGTAGATCATCAGCAGTCTGAATTGTTTGTTAATGTGGTTTCAGCCTCCAATGTCCGAGGTTGAGTTTGAAGCTTGGCTGAAGGATCATAAGAAGAAGTCTGAAGATGGGTAGGAAACATTTTTATGAGCTGTGGCCAGATTGTAGGGTAGAAGTGATACAGGCATGCCTGGTGGACAATCTTGGGATTAGGACCACAGGAGTTTGCAACTAGAACTATCATGCTGTTTGGTTATCTTAATTTGATTTTCTCTCTTGTTCTTGTTTCTTCCTGCTGTAGTTTGAATATACCTGATGTCGACGTGGACATAAAATACACAGATAACATCACGGTAATCTACTTTTCTTTACAATTCTGAGATACAGATGTTCATCACTCTGATTGGTTTGTTAATGTGGTTTCAGCCTCCAATATCCCAGTACCAGTTGTGGCTATGGATGAGACATCAGAAATTGGGAACTTTGGGAAGGTAAGAAACTTTTCTTAGGGGAAGTGTCTGGATTGAGGTTGGCATTATCAAACGCAATGTGGTTTTGTTAAAGTTTTATGACAGAATGATTGCGTGCTGTTTAACTCATGACAATGTTTCTGTATTCCATCATAGTTTGCAATTGCCCGATGTAGACTTAAAAGAACTGGAGAAATTAAAGGTAATCCACAGTTTGATATATGTCATGACTTCAACAGTTTTAAACTGAAAGCAAAATGGTTTACAAATTATGATGTAGATCATCAGCAGTCTGAATTGTTTGTTAATGTGGTTTCAGCCTCCAATGTCCGAGGTTGAGTTTGAAGCTTGGCTGAAGGATCATAAGAAGAAGTCTGAAGATGGGTAGGAAACATTTTTATAGAGCTGTGGCCAGATTGTAGGGTAGAAGTGATACAGGCATGCCTGGTGGACAATCTTGGGATTAGGATCCACAGGAGTTTGCAACTAGAACTATCATGCTGTTTGTTATCTTAATTTGATTTTCTCTCTTGTTCTTGTTTCTTCCTGCTGTAGTTTGAATATACCTGATGTCGACGTGGACATAAAATACACAGATAACATCACGGTAATCTACTTTTCTTTACAATTCTGAGATACAGATGTTCATCACTCTGATTGGTTTGTTAATGTGGTTTCAGCCTCCAATATCCCAGTACCAGTTGTGGCTATGGATGAGACATCAGAAATTGGGAACTTTGGGAAGGTAAGAAACTTTTCTTAGGGGAAGTGTCTGGATTGAGGTTGGCATTATCAAACGCAATGTGGTTTTGTTAAAGTTTTATGGACAGAATGATTGCGTGCTGTTTAACTCATGACAATGTTTCTGTATTCCATCATAGTTTGCAATTGCCCGATGTAGACTTAAAAGAACTGGAGAAATTAAAGGTAATCCACAGTTTGATATATGTCATGACTTCAACAGTTTTAAACGATGATGATGTAGATCATCAGCAGTCTGAATTGTTTGTTAATGTGGTTTCAGCCTCCAATGTCCGAGGTTGAGTTTGAAGCTTGGCTGAAGGATCATAAGAAGAAGTCTGAAGATGGGTAGGAAACATTTTTATAGAGCTGTGGCCAGATTGTAGGGTAGAAGTGATACAGGCATGCCTGGTGGACAATCTTGGGATTAGGATCCACAGGAGTTTGCAACTAGAACTATCATGCTGTTTGGTTATCTTAATTTGATTTTCTCTCTTGTTCTTGTTTCTTCCTGCTGTAGTTTGAATATACCTGATGTCGACGTGGACATAAAATACACAGATAACATCACGGTAATCTACTTTTCTTTACAATTCTGAGATACAGATGTTCATCACTCTGATTGGTTTGTTAATGTGGTTTCAGCCTCCAATATCCCAGTACCAGTTGTGGCTATGGATGAGACATCAGAAATTGGGAACTTTGGGAAGGTAAGAAACTTTTCTTAGGGGAAGTGTCTGGATTGAGGTTGGCATTATCAAACGCAATGTGGTTTTGTTAAAGTTTTATGGACAGAATGATTGCGTGCTGTTTAACTCATGACAATGTTTCTGTATTCCATCATAGTTTGCAATTGCCCGATGTAGACTTAAAAGAACTGGAGAAATTAAAGGTAATCCACAGTTTGATATATGTCATGACTTCAACAGTTTTAAACTGAAAGCAAAATGGTTTACAAATTATGATGTAGATCATCAGCAGTCTGAATTGTTTGTTAATGTGGTTTCAGCCTCCAATGTCCGAGGTTGAGTTTGAAGCTTGGCTGAAGATCATAAGAAGAAGTCTGAAGATGGGTAGGAAACATTTTTATAAGCTGTGGCCAGATTGTAGGGTAGAAGTGATACAGGCATGCCTGGTGGACAATCTTGGGATTAGGACCACAGGAGTTTGCAACTAGAACTATCATGCTGTTTGTTATCTTAATTTGATTTTCTCTCTTGTTCTTGTTTCTTCCTGCTGTAGTTTGAATATACCTGATGTCGACGTGGACATAAAATACACAGATAACATCACGGTAATCTACTTTTCTTTACAATTCTGAGATACAGATGTTCATCACTCTGATTGGTTTGTTAATGTGGTTTCAGCCTCCAATATCCCAGTACCAGTTGTGGCTATGGATGAGACATCAGAAATTGGGAACTTTGGGAAGGTAAGAAACTTTTCTTAGGGGAAGTGTCTGGATTGAGGTTGGCATTATCAAACGCAATGTGGTTTTGTTAAAGTTTTATGACAGAATGATTGCGTGCTGTTTAACTCATGACAATGTTTCTGTATTCCATCATAGTTTGCAATTGCCCGATGTAGACTTAAAAGAACTGGAGAAATTAAAGGTAATCCACAGTTTGATATATGTCATGACTTCAACAGTTTTAAACTGAAAGCAAAATGGTTTACAAATTATGATGTAGATCATCAGCAGTCTGAATTGTTTGTTAATGTGGTTTCAGCCTCCAATGTCCGAGGTTGAGTTTGAAGCTTGGCTGAAGGATCATAAGAAGAAGTCTGAAGATGGGTAGGAAACATTTTTATAGAGCTGTGGCCAGATTGTAGGGTAGAAGTGATACAGGCATGCCTGGTGGACAATCTTGGGATTAGGATCCACAGGAGTTTGCAACTAGAACTATCATGCTGTTTGGTTATCTTAATTTGATTTTCTCTCTTGTTCTTGTTTCTTCCTGCTGTAGTTTGAATATACCTGATGTCGACGTGGACATAAAATACACAGATAACATCACGGTAATCTACTTTTCTTTACAATTCTGAGATACAGATGTTCATCACTCTGATTGGTTTGTTAATGTGGTTTCAGCCTCCAATATCCCAGTACCAGTTGTGGCTATGGATGAGACATCAGAAATTGGGAACTTTGGGAAGGTAAGAAACTTTTCTTAGGGGAAGTGTCTGGATTGAGGTTGGCATTATCAAACGCAATGTGGTTTTGTTAAAGTTTTATGGACAGAATGATTGCGTGCTGTTTAACTCATGACAATGTTTCTGTATTCCATCATAGTTTGCAATTGCCCGATGTAGACTTAAAAGAACTGGAGAAATTAAAGGTAATCCACAGTTTGATATATGTCATGACTTCAACAGTTTTAAACCGATGATGATGTAGATCATCAGCAGTCTGAATTGTTTGTTAATGTGGTTTCAGCCTCCAATGTCCGAGGTTGAGTTTGAAGCTTGGCTGAAGGATCATAAGAAGAAGTCTGAAGATGGGTAGGAAACATTTTTATGGAGCTGTGGCCAGATTGTAGGGTAGAAGTGATACAGGCATGCCTGGTGGACAATCTTGGGATTAGGACCCACAGGAGTTTGCAACTAGAACTATCATGCTGTTTGTTATCTTAATTTGATTTTCTCTCTTGTTCTGTTTCTTCCTGCTGTAGTTTGAATATACCTGATGTCGACGTGGACATAAAATACACAGATAACATCACGGTAATCTACTTTTCTTTACAATTCTGAGATACAGATGTTCATCACTCTGATTGGTTTGTTAATGTGGTTTCAGCCTCCAATATCCCAGTACCAGTTGTGGCTATGGATGAGACATCAGAAATTGGGAACTTTGGGAAGGTAAGAAACTTTTCTTAGGGGAAGTGTCTGGATTGAGGTTGGCATTATCAAACGCAATGTGGTTTTGTTAAAGTTTTATGAACAGAATGATTGCGTGCTGTTTAACTCATGACAATGTTTCTGTATTCCATCATAGTTTGCAATTGCCCGATGTAGACTTAAAAGAACTGGAGAAATTAAAGGTAATCCACAGTTTGATATATGTCATGACTTCAACAGTTTTAAACTGAAAGCAAAATGGTTTACAAATTATGATGTAGATCATCAGCAGTCTGAATTGTTTGTTAATGTGGTTTCAGCCTCCAATGTCCGAGGTTGAGTTTGAAGCTTGGCTGAAGGATCATAAGAAGAAGTCTGAAGATGGGTAGGAAACATTTTTATAGAGCTGTGGCCAGATTGTAGGGTAGAAGTGATACAGGCATGCCTGGTGGACAATCTTGGGATTAGGATCCACAGGAGTTTGCAACTAGAACTATCATGCTGTTTGGTTATCTTAATTTGATTTTCTCTCTTGTTCTTGTTTCTTCCTGCTGTAGTTTGAATATACCTGATGTCGACGTGGACATAAAATACACAGATAACATCACGGTAATCTACTTTTCTTTACAATTCTGAGATACAGATGTTCATCACTCTGATTGGTTTGTTAATGTGGTTTCAGCCTCCAATATCCCAGTACCAGTTGTGGCTATGGATGAGACATCAGAAATTGGGAACTTTGGGAAGGTAAGAAACTTTTCTTAGGGGAAGTGTCTGGATTGAGGTTGGCATTATCAAACGCAATGTGGTTTTGTTAAAGTTTTATGGACAGAATGATTGCGTGCTGTTTAACTCATGACAATGTTTCTGTATTCCATCATAGTTTGCAATTGCCCGATGTAGACTTAAAAGAACTGGAGAAATTAAAGGTAATCCACAGTTTGATATATGTCATGACTTCAACAGTTTTAAACTGATGATGATGTAGATCATCAGCAGTCTGAATTGTTTGTTAATGTGGTTTCAGCCTCCAATGTCCGAGGTTGAGTTTGAAGCTTGGCTGAAGGATCATAAGAAGAAGTCTGAAGATGGGTAGGAAACATTTTTATGAGCTGTGGCCAGATTGTAGGGTAGAAGTGATACAGGCATGCCTGGTGGACAATCTTGGGATTAGGACCACAGGAGTTTGCAACTAGAACTATCATGCTGTTTGTTATCTTAATTTGATTTTCTCTCTTGTTCTTGTTTCTTCCTGCTGTAGTTTGAATATACCTGATGTCGACGTGGACATAAAATACACAGATAACATCACGGTAATCTACTTTTCTTTACAATTCTGAGATACAGATGTTCATCACTCTGATTGGTTTGTTAATGTGGTTTCAGCCTCCAATATCCCAGTACCAGTTGTGGCTATGGATGAGACATCAGAAATTGGGAACTTTGGGAAGGTAAGAAACTTTTCTTAGGGGAAGTGTCTGGATTGAGGTTGGCATTATCAAACGCAATGTGGTTTTGTTAAAGTTTTATGGACAGAATGATTGCGTGCTGTTTAACTCATGACAATGTTTCTGTATTCCATCATAGTTTGCAATTGCCCGATGTAGACTTAAAAGAACTGGAGAAATTAAAGGTAATCCACAGTTTGATATATGTCATGACTTCAACAGTTTTAAACTGAAAGCAAAATGGTTTACAAATTATGATGTAGATCATCAGCAGTCTGAATTGTTTGTTAATGTGGTTTCAGCCTCCAATGTCCGAGGTTGAGTTTGAAGCTTGGCTGAAGGATCATAAGAAGAAGTCTGAAGATGGGTAGGAAACATTTTTATGGCTGTGGCCAGATTGTAGGGTAGAAGTGATACAGGCATGCCTGGTGGACAATCTTGGGATTAGGACCCACAGGAGTTTGCAACTAGAACTATCATGCTGTTTGTTATCTTAATTTGATTTTCTCTCTTGTTCTGTTTCTTCCTGCTGTAGTTTGAATATACCTGATGTCGACGTGGACATAAAATACACAGATAACATCACGGTAATCTACTTTTCTTTACAATTCTGAGATACAGATGTTCATCACTCTGATTGGTTTGTTAATGTGGTTTCAGCCTCCAATATCCCAGTACCAGTTGTGGCTATGGATGAGACATCAGAAATTGGGAACTTTGGGAAGGTAAGAAACTTTTCTTAGGGGAAGTGTCTGGATTGAGGTTGGCATTATCAAACGCAATGTGGTTTTGTTAAAGTTTTATGACAGAATGATTGCGTGCTGTTTAACTCATGACAATGTTTCTGTATTCCATCATAGTTTGCAATTGCCCGATGTAGACTTAAAAGAACTGGAGAAATTAAAGGTAATCCACAGTTTGATATATGTCATGACTTCAACAGTTTTAAACTGAAAGCAAAATGGTTTACAAATTATGATGTAGATCATCAGCAGTCTGAATTGTTTGTTAATGTGGTTTCAGCCTCCAATGTCCGAGGTTGAGTTTGAAGCTTGGCTGAAGGATCATAAGAAGAAGTCTGAAGATGGGTAGGAAACATTTTTATAGAGCTGTGGCCAGATTGTAGGGTAGAAGTGATACAGGCATGCCTGGTGGACAATCTTGGGATTAGGATCCACAGGAGTTTGCAACTAGAACTATCATGCTGTTTGGTTATCTTAATTTGATTTTCTCTCTTGTTCTTGTTTCTTCCTGCTGTAGTTTGAATATACCTGATGTCGACGTGGACATAAAATACACAGATAACATCACGGTAATCTACTTTTCTTTACAATTCTGAGATACAGATGTTCATCACTCTGATTGGTTTGTTAATGTGGTTTCAGCCTCCAATATCCCAGTACCAGTTGTGGCTATGGATGAGACATCAGAAATTGGGAACTTTGGGAAGGTAAGAAACTTTTCTTAGGGGAAGTGTCTGGATTGAGGTTGGCATTATCAAACGCAATGTGGTTTTGTTAAAGTTTTATGGACAGAATGATTGCGTGCTGTTTAACTCATGACAATGTTTCTGTATTCCATCATAGTTTGCAATTGCCCGATGTAGACTTAAAAGAACTGGAGAAATTAAAGGTAATCCACAGTTTGATATATGTCATGACTTCAACAGTTTTAAACCGATGATGATGTAGATCATCAGCAGTCTGAATTGTTTGTTAATGTGGTTTCAGCCTCCAATGTCCGAGGTTGAGTTTGAAGCTTGGCTGAAGGATCATAAGAAGAAGTCTGAAGATGGGTAGGAAACATTTTTATGGAGCTGTGGCCAGATTGTAGGGTAGAAGTGATACAGGCATGCCTGGTGGACAATCTTGGGATTAGGACCCACAGGAGTTTGCAATGAGAACTATCATGCTGTTTAGTTATCTTAATTTGATTTTCTCTCTTGTTCTTGTTTCTTCCTGCTGTAGTTTGAATATACCTGATGTCGACGTGGACATAAAATACACAGATAACATCACGGTAATCTACTTTTCTTTACAATTCTGAGATACAGATGTTCATCACTCTGATTGGTTTGTTAATGTGGTTTCAGCCTCCAATATCCCAGTACCAGTTGTGGCTATGGATGAGACATCAGAAATTGGGAACTTTGGGAAGGTAAGAAACTTTTCTTAGGGGAAGTGTCTGGATTGAGGTTGGCATTATCAAACGCAATGTGGTTTTGTTAAAGTTTTATGAACAGAATGATTGCGTGCTGTTTAACTCATGACAATGTTTCTGTATTCCATCATAGTTTGCAATTGCCCGATGTAGACTTAAAAGAACTGGAGAAATTAAAGGTAATCCACAGTTTGATATATGTCATGACTTCAACAGTTTTAAACTGAAAGCAAAATGGTTTACAAATTATGATGTAGATCATCAGCAGTCTGAATTGTTTGTTAATGTGGTTTCAGCCTCCAATGTCCGAGGTTGAGTTTGAAGCTTGGCTGAAGGATCATAAGAAGAAGTCTGAAGATGGGTAGGAAACATTTTTATAGAGCTGTGGCCAGATTGTAGGGTAGAAGTGATACAGGCATGCCTGGTGGACAATCTTGGGATTAGGATCCACAGGAGTTTGCAACTAGAACTATCATGCTGTTTGGTTATCTTAATTTGATTTTCTCTCTTGTTCTTGTTTCTTCCTGCTGTAGTTTGAATATACCTGATGTCGACGTGGACATAAAATACACAGATAACATCACGGTAATCTACTTTTCTTTACAATTCTGAGATACAGATGTTCATCACTCTGATTGGTTTGTTAATGTGGTTTCAGCCTCCAATATCCCAGTACCAGTTGTGGCTATGGATGAGACATCAGAAATTGGGAACTTTGGGAAGGTAAGAAACTTTTCTTAGGGGAAGTGTCTGGATTGAGGTTGGCATTATCAAACGCAATGTGGTTTTGTTAAAGTTTTATGGACAGAATG